TGTACTGCTGGTGGAGGTGTAAACTGGGTAAAAAACTTTGAAAAACAACTTAGAATTATTTCATAATAGTAAAAATGCACAATTCACTCTTAAATATGTATCCAGAAAAATTTTGCCCAGGTGCACCAAGAGAGATACATGGACATTAACTGCAGTATTATGATACCAAAAACCTTTATTAAAGAAAATTCATCATCAAGAGAATGGATAAATTTCAGTATATTCATATAATGAAATATTAAACACCAGAAAAGATGAACAAACTACAGCATCAACATAGATGACTCTCACAAATATAAAGTTGAGTATAAAAAATAAGTCATAAAAAAACCACAAACTCCTATAAGTTTAAAACTATGGGAAACTAAATATTATATCATTTGGGAACTTATACATGTGAAAATATTTTTTAAAGCAATGAAATAATAAATGTAAAATTCATGATTCTGGTTGCCTGGAGTGGGAGGGGGCAGAAGAGATGCAAGGAAGAAGATAAAAGTTCCCACTGGTTTTATGTTCTTTGTCTCAAGTTGAGTAGCAGGGTAGATGAGTATTTGTTTAGTTATTTATTATATATGTTATATATATGCATCTTATACTTATAAAACATATAAAATACTTATATATACATCTTATATACTTTATAATTTAAAAAAACATATTCAGAGGATAAGGAAAAAAACTCTTAGAAATTAAAGTGTCACAGCAAGAAAACTGAGTTCAAAGTTAAAACTGAAAAATCCTCCAGAAATTAAACAAAAAGATGAAGAGATGGAAAATAGGAGGGGGGAAAATAGTAAGTTAGAGAATTAGTGTAAAAGTACTCAACATTTGAATAAGATTTAGAAAGAGAAGGAAATAACACAAAAGAAATACTATTAATATAAAATAATCTCCTAGAACTGAAAGACATGAGTTTTCAGATTGAACAGGTCCACCAAATAGTCTACACAAAAAAAGTCTTTATTCCTTAGAAACAGATACACAGACCTCATCATGAAATTTCAGAATTCTAGGGACTAGGAGGGAATCCCTTATAAAACCTCTATAGCTGGAGAAGAGGAGAGTGTGGTCATACGGGCACTGTACTTCTCAACAGCAACAGTGGAAGCAAGAAGGCAACAGAACTATGACTTTAAAAATCCTGAGAGTTTAGAGTCCATTTTATCTGATATACAGTTGTCCCTTGATATACATGAAGGATTGGTTCCAGGACCCACCATGTATACCAAAATCTGCACATACTCAGTCCCACAGTCAGCCCTGTGGAACTCACGTATACAACAAATTGACCCTCTGTATATGCAGGTTTCATATCTGCAAACACTGTATTTTCAATACACATTTGGTTGAAAAATGTGGACCGGCACAGTTCAAACCCAGGTTATTCAAGGTTCAACTGAATACCTACACATGCTCACTTTTGGTTTCATTTGCAAGGAGTATCTTTTCCCAATCCTTCACTTTCAATGTGTGTGTGTCTTTTACAGGTGAAGTGAGTTTCTTGTAGATAGTACTTATAGGTCATGTTTTTTATCCACTCCGCCAGTCTATATCTTTTAAGTGTGGAATTTAATCATTCCAATGATTAAATAACCTTACATCCAAGGTTATTATCAATAGGTGTGAATTTATTCCTGTCATTTTGTTATTTCTTGGTTTTGTCTATCCTTTTTTCTTTTCTTCCTCTCTTGTTTATCATTGCAGTTTGATAATTTTCTAAAGGAGTAAAGTTTGATTCCATTCTTTCTCATATGTATATATGTTCTACCAGTGAGTTTTATACTTTTCATGTGCTTTCATGATTATAGGTATCATCCTTTTGCTTCCAGATGTAGGACTCCCTAAGCATTTCTTCTAGGGCCAGTCTAGAGGTAATAAATTCCCTCAGTTGTTGCTTATCTTGGAATGACTTTTTTTCTCCGTCCTTTCTAAAGACCAGCTTTGCTGGGTATAGTATCCTTGGCTGACAGTTTTCTTCTTTTAGTACTTTGAATTATCATCCCATTCTCTCCTGACCTACAGGTCTTCTGCTGAGAAATCTGCTATTAGCCTGATGGTAATTTCCTTATATGGAGCTTGATACTTTATTAGACTTCTCTTTTTGTCTTTGACTTTGACTTTTTGCCTAGACAGTTTGATACCTTAGAGAGTACCTTAGAGAAGACCATTATGGGTTGAACCTATTTGGGAATCTTTGAGCTTCCTATATCTGGATGTCTACATTTCTTGCAAGACTAATAATTTTTCAGCTATTATTTCATTAAATAAGTTTCCTATACCTTTGCCCATCTCTTCTCCTTCCGGAACACCTGAAATTCAACATTTGGTTGCTTTATGGTGTCTCATATGTCAAGTATACTTTTTTTTTGTCTGACTGGGTTATTTCTAAAGACCTGGCTTCAAGTTCAGAAATTCTTTCTTCTGCTTGATCTATTCCAGTGTTGAAACTGTCGACTGTATTTTTCACTTCATTCATTGAATTCTTCAGTTATAGGATTTCTGTTTGGTTCTTTTTTATGATATCTATCTCTTTGCTGACTTTCTCATTCAGATCATCAACTGTTTTCCTGATTTCTTTGTATTTCTTATCTGTGTTCTCTTGTATCTCACTGGTTTTCTTTAATATCATTATTTTGAATTCTTTTTCAGGAATCCCATAGATTTTCTTTTTGTTGGGCTCTGTTACTGGAGAATTATTGTGTTCCTTTGGAAGTGTCTGGTATCCTTGTTAGATTTCTTATGTCCCTACACTGATATCTGCACATCTGGTTAACAGTCATTTCTTCCAATTTTTGGACTGGTTTTCATATGGAAAGACTTTTCGTACAGATTTATCTATAGTGTTGCTTGGGTAGCATGCTGTTTTTTATTCTGGATGGGCACAGTAGCATAATCTCCATACAATTTCTTGACCTGTAATCAGTATCAGTGTTGTCTGTGAGTTCCTGAGTGGCTTAGGCTGCAGTTACTAGTAGAGGATTTAGCAAAGCTTTGCTTGGGACAAGGACACCAGGCAGACCAGTTCTCGGGCACAACTAGTGGCGAAAGCAGGCCAGGCATGCCAGTCCTCAGGTCCCCAGGTGATGTATGTGGGTGCCAGTGGTGGTGGGTCCAAGCAAGCCAGTTCTTGAGCTTCTCAGCAGCTTACTTGGGTGTCAGTGGTGGCAATAGTAGTTATGGAAAACAGTATAGAGTTTTCTTAAAAAAACAAAAATAGAACTACCACACAATCCAGCAATTCCACTACTGGGTATTTAAGCACAGAAAAGTAAATCAGTATATCAAAGGGATACCTGCACCCCCATGTCAGAGCACTATTCACAATAGTGAAGATATGAAATCAATCTTAATGTCCATCAGCAAATCAATGGATAAAGAAAGTGTAATACATACACATAATGGAATACCACTCAGCCATAAAAAAGAATGAAATCCTGTCATTCAAAACAAGTTGGATGGAACTGGAGATCATTGTGTTAAGCTAAATAAGCCAGGCACAAAAAGACAAATTATCACATGTTCTCACCCATATGTCGGGGCATATGTGGGAGAACTAAAAAACTTGATCTTGTACAGACAGAAAGTAGAATAATAATTATGGGGGGGGCGGGATGTAGCAAGGTTGTTTAATGGGAACATATAGTTAGGTGGAAGTAATAAGTTCTAGTGTTCAATAACATAGTAAGGAAACTACAGTTAGTAGTAATTTATTGTATATTTCAAAATAATTAGAAGATTTGAAATGTTACCAGCACACAAAAAAGATAAATGTGTGAGATGATGGATATCCCAAATACCCTGATTTGATCATTATAAATTGTATACATGTATCAAAATATCACATGTACCCCCATATATGTATAATTATATATCAATAAAATATAAATTTTAAAAAATTCTGAGAGACAATGATTTTCAACCCAATTCTATACCCAGGCAAATCCACAGAAGAGCAGAAGAAAAAATGTTTCAGATATGTAAGGCCTCAAAAATGTTCTTTCCTATTCACCTTTTCTCAGTAACCTACTGGAGGATATCTCCATCAAACAAGTAAAGAAGAAGATGAATAATTCCAAGAAATAGGGAATTTGATAAAGGAGAGAGGCAAAGAGTATTTCCCTGAGGTTGGTAAAAGAAAATCCCAAAATGATAGCTCTCCTATTTTAGACTAGGAGAGCAATTATGCTAGACTGGAGCAAAGAGAACATGTTTCCAGGATACCACCTATATGGGATTAAACTGAGAGAAGATTCAAAGTCTATTAGTGGTTCTGGGGATAAATTAGTATATAGAAACATAAACAGTAAAACAAAGTAATTATTATGTCCAAAGTAATTATTATGAAGAATATTTTATACAATCTTAATAATGTGAACAGTAAGACTGATTTACTCCAAATCATGAGATACTGACATCACGAAACAAGGAGGAAGTGAAGTCAACATGTGTACGCGTCAAATGTGGAGATAGGGTTGGAGACATCAACTTTAGAGCTAAGTCTCAGCTTCCGCAGGAGGAAGGCAAGAAATAATACATAGAACTAGGGGGGAAAAGTAAAGAAACAAGAACACCTGCAAGTTACTTAGAAACATGGACAGAAATAATATCAAAATATTCCACTTGACAAATAACTGCCTCCAGGACACAGGAATTAAGAGTGGGAATAACGAGGCAGAGAATGATTCTTTTCACTGTAAATCCAGTAGTGCAATTTTACTTTTCAAATTATGTATTTATGCTATCTTTAAACACAAAACCTAGTTTTAAAAAATGTAAGTGATCTGAGGTCAATTTAGAATAGTAATAATAGGCTTTATTTCCCATGTGCCTACTACCTTTGGAGAACATACCACGTCTTTTACCAACACTAATTACCACTCCTCAAGCCAGCTTTACAAAGGCTTATCCCAGTTTTACAGAAGAGAAAATTGAAAATGAATAAGGAACATTTTTTAATTGTTTTGTTTCTTTTGTTTGTTTTTTGCTTGGTCCTTTACCTTTCCAGCAGTAGCAAAATATTCACCATCAGGAGACCATTCCATCAAATATACAGATACTGAGGTTCTAAAAAAGACAAAGTTAAACAGTTAGCGGTTTTTAAGTCTGATACACTGTATTCATAAATAATCAAGATGAGAGTTTTCATAACACTAAAGTTACAACCCGCAGAATAAGAGAGTTTCTGCCTCCCTAAAAATGTAAATAAAATATTTCACCTGGCTAAAAGCATAAATTAAAACAAATCCAACACTCACTTTGTGAAACAAACAATGTAAGTAACATGCATATAGTGTATTTCCACCTACGTGTCCCACCAACATCCTAAATGTAATATGTTAAAAGCTGTGCTCACCATCTTCCCTGGCTAATTGGTCCCCTCACATAATCTATACTAATGTTAACGGTACAGCCATCCTTCTACTTGAAACAGTGGCTGGCAACTTTCACCACATCTTCCCCTTCCTCATCCATACCTCAATATATTAATGAGTAATTCTTATGCATCAACCCTGTCAACTCAAGTCCTGGGGCTGTAACTATGAAAATATTTTTGTCTTTTTTTAAAAGAATTAACTGTAGCAGAGATTAATGAATGACATTATAAATGGGTTTTAATTAGAAAAAGTCTACTTTCTAGGCTTCTAAATGCAATGGTACCATCAAAAAATAAAGATCTTTGTGAAAGGCATTTTAGGAAGCATTTCTTTTTAATGTAACAGAATGCATAGAGTTAGACACTAACTTGCACTGCCAGATGCACTTCCAATCATTTAAAACAGGAATTTTATTATCAATTTCTTCCTCCTCTTCCAGAATATCACCTCCTGGAGGAGCCCACAACTGAACAGAATCAGTTGCTGTCAATAATCTGTTATCTGAAAATTAAAGAATGTTCTGATGAATAAGCAAGGATTATCTAGGGAAAGAAATGCACATGGGCTTCTGTTTAGATCTGTAATACTGTCAATTAAAAACACTTGGTATATATCTATTTGACAGAATTCTCTAGAAAAAGAAAAAGAGAATCCTCTAGAAAGAAAGAGTAGTTCTTAAGGAAGACTTGAAAACAAAAAAGAAAAACTTACTGGCAAAAAACTATTGTGCATTAGCAAGTCTTTAAAAAAATAACAGCAAAAGTGGAATAACAAACCCCTAAAACTCTGATATTTATATACTATAAAATGTTTTCAGGATATAAGGCATAACTACAAATTAATGAAATTTATATAAAAATAATCCTCATTAATTGTGAATGTAAAAAGAGACAAGAGTCATTATCATTAAAGGTTTCTAATCTTTCAAAAGTAAAGACAGTAATTTCCTGAAATGCAAATGATAAAACAAGGTGGAGTATTTTTGGTCTCTGTTTTATTTACAGTTTAACTGTTAACTAAGGAAACAAATCATTACTCTTTCTTGAAATAAAACATTCAAAAGCAGGGTAAAAGAAGCATAGAACTAATAATAAATTAAGGTACTGTACAAAGTACTATATCCCAAGAAGAAAAAAGTATACTGACTTATCTACAAAAAGAAAATATAATACTGATCATTTTTTCTTATTATGGAAGACTACATCACATTGTAATCATCAGACATTTAAAACAAATATTTAATTTAAATAATTTATTTAATTTAAATAATTTCTAAATATAATTGCTAAATACCTTGAGGGTCCCATGCTAAGTTGTATGTCACGGAACTCAAAAAAAACTGCCCAGTTTTAAGCCACTGACATTTGAGTTGCTGAAACATGTAAAAGAAAAAAAAAAACAAGACATGTTTTTAAAATAATATCCCAAAACACTACCATTTAATCATTTTAACTTAAGACCTTATGATCTGAAACAAAGATACAATTGTTTCACTATTATTTTCATATACTGCTTTTAACATAACGTACAATGGTTCCACTATTTATTCTACCATATTAAGCTCCTTGACACGCCCAAAGTAGGTTCTCTCATGCTTCATTCCATGTCTATATATACATTCTTATATTTAGAATACCCTTTGCCTCACTTCTCCATCTGCAAAATCCTATGCTTCCATTAAGATTGTTAAGGCCGGGAAGGCCGGGCACGGTGGCTCACGCCTGTAATCCTAGCACTCTGGGAGGCTGAGGCAGGCGGATTGCTCGAGGTCAGGAGTTCGAAACCAGACCGAGAAAGAGCAAGACCCCGTCTCTACTATAAATAGAAGGAAATTAATTGGCCAACTAATATATATAGAAATAATATATATAGAAAACATCAGCCGGGCATGGTGGCACATGCCTGTAGTCTCAGCTACTTGGGAGGCTGAGGCAGGAGGATCACTTGAGCCCAGGAGTTTGAGGTTGCTGTGAGCCAGGTTGACGCCATGGCACTCACTCTAGCCTGGGCAACAAAGCGAGACTCTGTCTCAAAAAAAAAAAAAGATTAGTTAAATCATCACCTCTACTATGGAGCCTTCTCTGACTTCCTGGAAGCACCGATAGCACTTTTACATTCAGCCATTATAACACTGATCACACAAAATTTTTTTTTTCTTATTTTTTAAAAAAAGACACAGGGTCTTGCTCTTGCTCAGGCTGGTCTTGAACTCCTGAGCTCAAGCAATCCTCTCGCCTCAGCCTCCCAAAGTGCTAGGATTATAAAAGTGAGCCACCATGCCCGGCCCACATAGAATTATTATTTGTTTATATGTCTGACTCTCCTATTAAATTACAACTCTCAAAAGGCAGAAACTATGTCATGATAATCTTTATTATATTCAGGATTTGTAATGTACATATAGTACATAGATGTTCAATAAATGTTTATTAAAATAAAATAAATACACATTAGTAAGAAATGCAAATTAAGATGATCTCATGGACTCAATGTCTAAAAGAAAACTAGATATCTCCCAAAAAGTCAACAGATGTGAACTATATAATATGTATATTCTATAAACTTCATCTATATTATATTTTAATAATTTCCATCTTTTTTTCTTAATATTTTTATTCTAAAAAGTGATTTAAAGTTTAAAAGTCAAAGACCTTTGCCATGAAATACAGTAAGTAAACAAAAGTTTACATATTTCTTTGTAGCACATAAATATAAAATGTCCTTTTGTAAAAGTATAGTGTAATGTAAAGCCATGTTACCTTAAGCAAATTAAATATTAATTGATGAACGAATAATTTTTGCCCTGGCTAGAGTGCCATGGCGTCAGCCTAGCTCACAGCAACCTCAGACTCCTGGGCTCAAGCAATCTTTCTGCCTTAGCCTCTCGAGTAGCTGGGACTACAGGCATGCACCACCATGCCCGGCTAATATTTTCTATATATTTTTAGTTGACCAATTAATTTCTTTCTATTTTTAGTAGAGATGGGGTCTCACTCTTGCTCAGGCTGGTTCTGAACTCCTGACCTTGAGTGATCACCCACCTCGGCCTCCCAGAGTGCTAGGATTACAGGCGTGAGCCACTGCCCCCGCCCAATGAACAAATAATTTTTGAGATGGCAATACCCTTCCTCTTCACAATATTTTAAAAGTATTTAACAATTAAATAATTTATGCAAGGTTTCTTGACAACTTATAGGCAGAATTTAAAAATATAACTGTCAAACCTGCATTTCATTATCCTAAAATAATTTTATATTTCATAATCAGGTAAAATGTTATTTTTTAAACCCTACCAGTGCTGACCAAACAACAGTTACAACAGTAGTTTCAATACTGTTCAACAAATCTATTTTAGTGTATTAATAATAATTAAATAATTCCCCAAATTATAGACATCCTTTTTTTTTTTTTTAAACACAGTTTCACTCTGTTGCCCGGGGTAGAGTGCCATAGCGTCAGCCTAGGTCACAGCAACGTCAGACTCCTGGGCTCAAGCAATCCCCCTGCCTCAGCCTCTCGAGTAGCTGGGACTACAGGCACACATTACCACACCTGGGTAATTTTTTCTATTTTTAGTAGAGACAGGGTCTTACTCTTACTCAAGCTGGTCTCAAAATCCTGAGCTCAAGCAATCCTCCCGTCTCACCACCCAGAGTGTTAGGATTACGGGCGTGAACCACCACATCCAGCCCATAGACAACCTTAATATTCTTTCCTTTAGTGTTCCTCAGAGTATACTCTGTGGACTATTTAGCAGAAATCTGGGGAATGAGGCCTGGGAATCTGAACACGTTTAGTATGTGTTCTAGAAGACTCTCAAGTACTCCAAAATTTGATATCTGTTTCATAATACCATTATGAAATATATTAACATTTAATACATATTAATACATTTCTAATATTAAGACTAACATTTTAATTTATATTGTTTTTTGGAAATGTAAAAAAAATATTCAAATATACATTTAATGAAAAATACCAAAACTACCTCTTTTAATGCATTTTACTCAAAAGTATACTTAAAAAATTACTTGTAAATATATACTCTTGGCATTCAGATTTAGCATTTGCACTTTTGATTACTTGTGAGTGATGGTGGAGTTCTAACACATGTAATCATTTTTAAAGGGGTTGATAATTCCAACCATATTGGATTTTCTGAATATTAAGTAAGACAAAATATAATACGGCACCCAATATGAATCTGAATGGTTCTCAATTATGTGGTATGCTTGACCACTTATCTGATATGTAAGCTTACCTAAGCTCCTAACTCCTTCATTCAACAATTATTTAGGAATACCTACTATGTTCCAGGTACTGTTTTATGTACTTGGGATTCATCAGTGAAAAAAGAATCAAAGCTTCCTACCCTCATGGAACTTACATTCTAAATAATAAACAATACATAAATAAACAAGGTAAGTGTTATAGAAAAAACTGTTAAATAGAAAGATAAGGGGAGTAGAAGTTGTAATTTTTAAAAGGATGGTCAAGGTAAACCTCATTGAGAAGGAATTACTGACCAAAGACCTAAAGGATCTGTGGCTGCTAACCTTGCCTTGGAGGTATCTGAAAGAAGAACATTCCAGACAAAAAGAACAACCAATACAAAGGCTCCAAGAGGGAAAGTAACTGAGAAACAGTAAAAATGGCAGTGTGGCTGGAGTGGAACCAGAGAGAACAAAATAGTAGAAGATAAACTCTAGTGTTAGTAAGTGTGGTGCTGGGAGAAGGAAGGTTATAGTCTAACTTAAGGCTTTTTGTCTTTTTATCTGACAGAAATAAGGAGCCATTACAGAGTTTTAAGCAGAGAAGTGTCATAATTTGCTCTGTTGAGAAGAGGGATGGAGTAGAAGGAGAATAGGAAACCAGATATCAGATATAGATTAGTAATCTAAGCAAGAAATAAAGTAATTCAAACTAGGGTAGCTTTTCATTAACACAGCTAATCTCAATTAGCAATATTCTGGAAACATAAGTTTCTAAGGCCTGGGGATTTATGCCTAATGAATGAAAAGGATCAGACCAACATTACAATGATATTCCAGCACATTTTCAGCTACTCAGGAGCTCTTTATTACTATCAACTGGACTCTAAAATTAACTAGATTCTAAAAATCTACTATCAGTTAATACTTACACAGTTTCTCTTATGAGAATTTATGCCCAAAGGCTCAAAAATACAAACAGCATTACCATATGAAGCTGCAATCTAAAAAAGAATAAACACAGCATTAATATTTAGAAGGTAAAATAAAGATAACCTCCTTTTCACAATAATGCATAAACTAATTACATGAATATGATCCTAATACTGTATTAATGGCTTTTTTCCTTCCATAAATATAACTGGAAGTGTATTGGAGTTGAATCTCTTCTCACTATACAACGTAGACATGTAACAGAATACAACTTTTACCTCCAAATCTCTTTTTAAAAAAAAGCAAAAGCCAAAAAAAAAAATACAGCAATAAATGGCAAAAAAGTCCCTTCTTTGTTATCAAAAAATTCAGCAAGCTTTATTTTACATAACAAATACAAAGTTGACCTATTCAAAAAAATCAGATTTTCTACAAGAATTTCATTTTTAATATAAAAATAACTTTATTAACAAAAATACACTTTATGGCATATCTCTTTGTCAGAAACTTTATAATCTAGTGAAAATAAGATAAAAACCATGAAAAGTAGAGAAAGACATAAAATAATATTAGTAACATGTCTTAAAGATATATCAAATAAAATGGCATAATCATACCATCAAACAGAAAAAAACAATTGGGAAACCATTTAGAAAAAGGAATAGAAAAAATGGACTAAGGAGAAATCAGGAAGCCATCCACTGTACCTGGGGGTTAAAGAGCTGATACAGACATCTCGAGAAGACTTAAGCTAGGGAATGGGGGACCAAGAGGATTTTGTTTCAGGTCACATACCTGATAAGAAGAGACATAAATCCCTCTGTTCCTAGAAGCTACCAGAGCCTGTTTTCCAATAATTTCTTAAATGCCAGTTCCCAGTTCAATCTCCTCTTGGTAAGAGGGAAATCAACCACAGGGGACAGACCAAAACCCTACCTCTGGTAACCTCTGTATACCAGTTAACCTATACAACTAAATTAGGTATACATTCTTTTAAAGCTTACCAAAAAAGGTCTACTGTGATTTTAAGGCACTCTAATGCCAAAAAGTGATTTTAACTATTACCTAATATCTAACATTCTTTCTAAGAAAAAAAAAAACTTAATCCACAATGGTAGTGGGGAAGCTACTTCAAATAACACTTAGGCAAAAGTGTTATGAATGATCCCATTAAATATGTAAATGAATGAATAAATATTTATAACAGACTAACACAAAGTCACAAACATCAAAGTTATCACCACAAAGACTGAGGATAAAGGGACTTAAAGAAGAGGCAATAAAGACAATAAAGATGTCCAATTTTGCCTTCTTTACATTAAACCAGGTAAGGAAAAGCAGAAACACAAGTTGCTCTGCTTCCCATGGTTATGAATACCAATGTCTTATGTATGTAAAACAAAAAAAAACTTTATTCTCAGAGAATGTGTTCATTGTGATTATCACCAGCACTTTTATTAAATTCACATCTATCAACTATCATACAAGTCTAGATAGTCTACCTTGCTTGGCCTAGAGAGAAGAGCAATGAAAAATTAATGAGAGAAATCTGACACTCTTAGTGTTTTCTAAAATAAGTGTAAGCAATTCTTAGGGGAAAAAAAACTGAAAAAAAAAATCAGAAAAGCAAGAAACAAATATCAGGAAACACCAGAAAATCCAGTATTTCAATACCAAGTCAAGTGTATCTATTACTGGATGGTAAAGTACGTTTACACAAATATTAAGGCTTGATATAGGCAGTAGAATGGGGCAGGAGAAATGGTATAATAATCATGATTTATCATTCAGTATAAATTTGCATGATTACTATTTATCACCATGAACATTCTGATTTAACATATCCTTCATTAAATTTGTTACCCAATAAAGAACAATTTCTAGAACACTAAGATTATTTAAATTATTATAATTATTATAGGTAAAAATCTCATTTCTATATTCTTATAGAGACATTTAACTCTGTTACATAATATTGGTCTTACTGAATTGCTAGAGTATACAGAAAACATGCTCTATTTACATTACATGCAACCAAAATTTGATATATGTTTGAAAATTTGAGGGAGAAGCATGTAAGATGAAATTTTAACTATTTCAAAATAAATTGTCTGTTTTAAAGTCTGAATGAATAAACTGTAAGATTCTTCACTCAGCAAACTTCCATTAAATTAACAGACTTTACAAAGCACCTGCTATATGGCAAGCATTATATTAGACATTGACAATTTGCTAAATTTCTTAATAAAAATTTGATTATATGTGGGGAAGATAAAAGACGCTAGGTAGAGAAGATAAAAGTTTATTTTTCCCCTACTTATTTAGGCTTAATGGCTGCTAGAATTATCAATTGGCAGAATATCAGTACACAAAGGATTGTAAGGCCTACAGATCTCTGAAGACAGTATATAACTACACAATAATTATCAGATTTTCAACCTATTAGCACTTTACAATTTGTATACAACCTATCACTTTACAACTCCTAAGCAAGGAGTTGTATCAACTCCTTGTATCAACAGCCACCTAAGCAAGGTATATTAATAAGAAACTGTAGGCAAGCCTTGCATAAAATGATAAGAATATTCTGAGATTATTAAATACATTTAAAAATTATATTTAATAAAGTAATTAAATCCCTTACTCTTCCATGTTGGTTAGAACACTCCACACAGCTGACTTGGATGTTTCCATGCTTAGCACCAGGAATGATCTGCACACATTCAAAGTCACTTGCCAAAATAACAATATCACAGCCTGATCCGTATGCCTAAAAAGAAAAGTTTTATGATATGTAAGATACATAACTTTTGAAATATTATTATATAATATTTTATCTTAGATTTTATTGCCATTGTAAAGTATACCTTGTACATTTTACAAAATAGTTAATATAAGAATATCAGTTTCCAAATAAGAACATTAAAAATCACATAAAAAAAACTGATGCTACTTCATGCATTATCCTTCAACAACTATTACTAAAAAGGAAAATGGTTCTTCCAGTTATTAAACATTGCAGCCTCTATCCCTGCTGGTCATAAATCATTCTGTTTAAACTTTCTCTCCAAAGCTCATCTCAGTAAACCCTAAAGTATCATAGCTCCAGCTGAAAATAATAAGACACTTAAGACTGCAACTATATTCCCAGGGTTCAAAGCAGGCTTGCAAAAGACCAAGATAGAAATCAGACATGCATTTTCCAACACAATTCCACATGGGTTACACAGCTAATTAAATAGACATGAACATCCAAGGAAGAATTACATGCACTAAGGCAAGGGCTAAACTTAAACTCATCAATTGCCCAAGTGGACCCATGATGCAGTCTGCCTCCACGTGCCCCCCTCCACCAACCCCAACCTCACCAGGCATGAGGAAGAAAGGAAACCAACCTGAAGTGGTTTTAAAAAAAACAAAAAAGAAAAGAAAAAGTTAAATAAAATAAAAAATAAACTAACTTACATAAAATAGTGGGCAAATGTCACTGTATGGTCTGGAAAAGAAACTATAACACAGAATGAAATTGTTGGAAAATTCCCTTGTACATCTAAAATGAGTAAAGCCACACATTTCTTCCTATTGCCACACTTCCTGGTGTATGCTATTCCTGTTTTGCAACTTTGTGAATTTTATGATGACATAAGGGGCAGAGGGTGGGACATTTTTCTTTTTCTACCAAAGTCTAATTGTGATTAAATATTATTAATAAAAACAACCTAACAACCGAATTGTCAACTTAAAAAGCCCCATTATGTCACCCAAAGAATCCTCACACTAAAAAAAAAGAAAAACAAACAAAAAAAAACCATTAAAAGCAACATAACATAAAATTTATGAGGCAACATTTTCCCTATTATTTCCACACCCTTAAGGAATGTGGTCATGTCCTACAAAATAGCGGTATCCAAAAGCCAAGAGTGGCATGTGAAGACATCTAAATCAGTGAGCTATGCCCTAAAGAAGTCCACATATGGCTGCTAATGAAAGAGGGAAATGAAGATAAAGACCAGATAGGAAGACAAACATTACTAAACACAGGTTACTAAAATTTATACTGTTCCTTCTCACTACTGCACTTGACTGGTCTTAAAAAAAAAAAAACTTCCACTGTTATAAAATCCTGTTGTAACTACTCTAAACCATCTTCAACTCATGTGTTTACAAATATCAAAAAGTTCCCTAAAGGAAAAGCAAAGACAGAATTTTAAGCAAGGGAAATATGGAGAAAATCACTCACAGGAGAAAATGATCACTTACATTCTTATAGGCAAGGCAGACTTACTGTACCATGTATTCAGGAAAGCTAAGCTGAAAGAAAATATTGAGTATATGCAGAAGAAATGTTTGTGTCACGATGCTAATCTTTAAAATTATATTACTAAAATAATCTGATTCTTGAATGACATTTTGCAATTTCCAAACTGCTTTATATCATTATCTCAGCAAAGTGAACTGATGGAAAAAGCATATATTTTATTTAGTTTGAAATCACACATGTGCAGTTTTCAGTTCTGGTTATGCCAAATAAGTAACTTAAGATCTCTGAACATCTCCTCATGGTAAAATAGAAAAAACAATATTTATCTCTTAGGATAATTGTGAAAATTAAAATAGAAAATCTATTTGCATAATGTGTAACCCACATCACTTATTTAAGAAACAGAACACGGCATCATGTCTCAAGGCCTGGGTAAGGGACTGGGAATACAAAACCACAAGATGTGGTCCCAGTCTAATGGGGAGATGACTAGTCTTAGTCACACCCAAATGGCAAAGTGCCATGACAGAGTTATCCACAAAATACTATCAGAAGACAGGAGAGGTATTCGATAAATGTTGTATCACTCCCTCTTTAATCTTTACAATAAACCTGGAAGGTAGATATTATCACTGTATAAAGAAAAATTCTAAGTTAATTAATTTGTCTAAGACTATACAGTAAGTGGAAAGTGTTTAAACTCAGGTCCTTACAATCCTTATGTCTTTTTCCCTACATATCAAAGAGACATAAAATATTCCAAATAAATATTAGTACACTTGCTTCTCAAATGATGGACCCTGCCTAGCAACCACTACTATTAGATAAATACACTCTTACTGCTCAGTTACCGAAAAGGCTTTTTACTCTTCCCTAGATATTCAGAATTGCCTGACTTTTTTCAGAGGACATGTACCATTCTCCTTAACTATAGGGAATCTTGCCATTTTGTAGCTGCATCAAAGTCACCTAGGGAACTTGTTAAAAATACAGATTGCTTGATCCCACTCATGACTTAATAAATTAGAATCTTCCTGGATAAAATAATTTGGTAATATCTAGCAACATTTCAAATACAATATACTCTTTGATTGAACATTCCCTATTTTACCCTATAAGTATACTTAGAAAAGGATGCCAAAAATATACGTAGGATATTCACTGCCCTGTTATTTATAGCAGCAAAAACTGAAAATAATCATACCATCCAATAAACTCGGGTCTCTCTATACTGTTTTTTTCCCCATTTCACTAATGACCACCTTCTATCATTTTGTTTTCTATTGCTCTAATTTTTGTTCTCCTTATTGGTTAATTACATAAATTCATTTAAATTCTTCAATGGGGGTTATTTGGGCTTTAATGGTTACTGGGTTGTACCAACTGATCTTATGAAAATAGTCTTAAGAGCCCAATGTTGACCTATGGAAAAAATCTTACAACTGAGAAGACAAAACAAAGATTAACAAACATTTTCCAGGAAAACACTCATTCTCTCTCTTCATTTTAGTCACCTAATTAAAATCCTAACTCTTTATGACACACTCAGAATTAAAAATTTACTGAATGGGTCCCTAATTAAACTAGACATTTCATATATCACTTATCCATTAAAACCAACTGCAAGTTAAATAAGGCATTCAAAATATTTAATTTTAATGTTTTCAGAAACAATATTTTCTTTTTTATAGAGAAAACAACATATATACTAAATTTTAAAATTAAATAGAAAAATGAAGTCACCATGTTATCCTTGACTATCCCACTTCATTCCCAGTGAGCAATCACTTAACAGTTACCTATAAACCCTTCTGGAAATGTTCAGTATATAAAAGTATACTTTTTATAAATCTTTAACATAAATGGGATCATGCTATATACAACTCTGCAACTTCTTTTCACTTATCAATATAGCTTGAAAAATTTTCCCTGTCAGCAAAGAAGAAATTTCCTCATTCTTCTTAATAGTTGTATAGTATTTCATTTTGTGGCTTTGCTATAATTAATTTGGGTTGTTTCCAATCTCTCACTAAAGCAAATAATGCTTCAATGATCATCTAGGTATATATAATATGCATATGTGTCCAATTATACCCATAGGATATATTCTAAGGATAATATGCTGAATAAGTGATTAAAATTAATTGCTACTGCAAACTGCCTTCCAAAAAAATTATACTCCCCATATGTATAAAAGTACCTGTTCTATACTTCCTCACTAACCCTGATTATTTCTGACCCAACAAAACCTACATCTTTCTATTGTTTTAATTTGTGTTTTTATTAGAAGGAAAGTCAAGCATTTCTTCATATATTTTTCAGCCATTTATATTTCTTTCTGTGCAAACTGACTGTTCATGTTGTTGGTCCATTTGTTTTTCTACAAGTTTCTACACAAAAGCAAACATCTGTTGCCCACCACCACCATCCCCAAGATAAATAAAATTCCTGTCATTCAGATATAAGACCACACTCCAGTAAGAAAAGCAATGAGGGGACAGCATTTGAATAAGAAACTCTTCTTTCCACATGACTGAGAACACACTTTGCTGACAGGATTCCGTCATTTCAACTGCCAAAAGTTCAGTCAAGAGTGCTGAATGAGCAAAATAAATAAATGAAAAAGAAACTAAATAGTATGAAAAAAATCTTCCAGCAAAAAAATTAAACCATGTCAATGATGAATGAAGCAATGTTGGAAATAACCTAAAAATGACTCTAGGTGTGGTAACCAAAGAGACTATTCCTTGTAGAAACAACCCATATCAGGAAATGCAAAATTATTGGAATACTTACAAATAACAATATAAAAAAGCAAAGCTGAGAGTGGTATGTTGAGTAAAACATAAGACAAAGCTTAAATACAAACATATAAAAACAAAAATCTATGGTCAGAAAAAGAAAAATTAAGAAAATATTACAAGTATTTATGATTAAATGATAAAAAACAAAATAATTTTTAATTTCTTCCTAACCCCCAAAAAGCAAATGATCTGAAAGAACTTTCTTTAATAAAAATAAAAACTGTAGATTTAAACTTTAAAAAGAAAATTTTAATATTAGTCAAAAACTCACCAATTTTGATATTTTAGTAACATAATAGATGGAGCTCTAACAAACTTCTAAGTATTAAGCTAAACAGAAACAGACACTTGCAATCCAAACTAAGCCTACTTCTATTCTCTGAAAAAAGAAGAAAAACATGTTTGTTTATTTACTGATGCCAGTAACATCTGAAAGAAAAATGAGAACTTGAAAAGCAAAATATACAATAATTAATTTGCTCTAATTAACCATTACAAAACAAGCTCTATCTCCAGCTTGCTTGCATCCTCATTAAAAGGTCAGTCTAAAAGTAGAAACCAAAAATCCTCTCTCTTATAAATAACTATTTTATATGTCAATGCTAATAAACCACTCAAAATATTAACTGTAAAAAACTTCTAAAGGAATACACAGTAAAAAAATAAGCCCCGTGGACTGGCAAACACATGTAAAAACCTAGAGTC